GCTGATGGTCCCCAGCTAAGAGAAGACACTGGAGTGGTTGAGACTGAAGTAGCTGCATACTCCAATCTGTCATAAGCCACCTCTTCTCCCTGAGCAACTTCCATGGTAGGTACAACCACAGTTTCCAACTTTTGCCTTCTCCCACTGTCTTCCTTTGGTGTCTTGGTTTTCTTCCTAAGACAGGCATTCGAGGATACGAAGTTATAGAATATGTGCAGTCCTAGTGCCTACCCCAGCTTTAGGAAAAGGGATGAGGGTTCTAGTCGTCCCTATATTGAGGTCAGGCTGTCTAATTGATGCCTGGGCTTCTCTTACACTACTTGTCGCTCATCCTCCCCCTTCTCCACTGGAGGAAATAGTTTTAAGTCTAGAACCACCGGGACCTCCTTGTTTTTTACGCTTCTTGAGGTATGTTTATGTCAAGCCTTAGATATATAAACTTTATGAGGCCGAGCCCTTTGAGCATGTTTTTTCTTCAAATTTATTATTTGTGTGTGAGCGTTTGTGTACCAGAAGACAGCTCTGTGTCTTTGGCTCTTCCTGTGTACCTTTATGTGGGTTCTGGCTTGTGCGACAAATGCTTTACCTGATGAACCACCCTGCTAGTCCCAGGTCTGAGTTTTGATCCTAATTCTAAGCATAGATCTTGTTGCTAGCTATGTGTTTCTGAAAAATAATGTAAGTTTTCTGCATTTCTCTTTCTTTATTGATAAAGCGGGGGTAATAATAAATAGGTCTTAGCACGACATGGAAGTGAGGATTAAATCAGCTAATACCTATGAGGTACTTAGTACCTGACATAGCTTCACTGTTCAGTAGAGGACCCTGTTTTATTTTTTTCATACATTTATAGAATGTCCATATTAAGCACTATACCAATCGATTTCACACATGGGATTGCATCGTTTATATGGTTTATATCAGAGAAATAGTCATCATCCTACTTTCCATATAAAGACTATAAACTATACAACCCAAGCTCTGGTGGTATAGACTACTTGCCTAGCATACATGATCCTAGGTTCCAGCCCAGCCCCCTTGCCCAAGTTAAAAAAAAGTCAACACCTCAGAAAATCCTTGGGCAAGGCTGCACAACTAAGGTTTGAACACAAGCGATGCCGAGTCTAGGACAGTTCACAAATGATAACAGACCAGGTACTGGGCTTGCGGGCTGTTTCTTCCTTTTCTTAAACGAGGGTTAAGTGGGAACTTGATCTGGCTCTCTGCTGAGATTTCCTTCCTCCCAGTCTTTCTTTTTTTTCTAGTGTCTCCAGAGCCCTCCCTCCCTTCCTCTGTCTCCTCTGGGATTATTTTCTACTGGAGAAACCCTAGAGACTGCTGGGCCTGTTTCAGCTACTGTTTTAAGTGTAGCAGGGGAGTAGTGCAGCGGAACCTTGACAGAAGTTTCTCGAGCACACTTAGTTGGATGCGCCCTGAGCCATTTAAAAGGACAACTTTGAGCTAATAGCCAATATTGTACTCAGTGGGATTTACTGAACACTTGGTAAAGCACTAGATTCTTTTTTTTTAATTTATTTATTGATTAAAGATTTCTGTCTCTTCCCCGCCACCGCCTCCTATTTCCCTCCCCTTCCCCCAATTAAGTCCCCTCCCCTCCTCAGCCTCAAGAGCAATCAGGGTTCCCTGCCTTGTGGGAAGTCCAAAGAACCCCCACCTCCATCCAGGTCTAGTAAGTTGAGCATCCAAACTGCCTAGGCAGATTCTTTACAATATTTTTTGAGAGGCTTCTTCTAATACCCACAATAACATAGGCAGGTGAGGATGCTGCTTCTAACTCCTATAATAACCTAGCCAGTTACTCTTCCATTTCTCAAGAAATCAGGAGCATAGAAAATGCTAGACTTTTGCTTTGCATAACTTACTAATTTAATATAATTAGTAGGACAAAGCTAATACACACAAAATGTTGATAAGCAATACAAAATAGCATGTTATGATGGGCTAAATTATGAGGACTACATTCCTTGGGATAGACTCCCCGGAGGAGATGACACCGGCAGTACATACTTATTTCCTTTAATTTGTATACTGTTTAGTGGCTCATGTCCACAAAGATGTGCAAGTTAATGACCATTGGGAATATCCCCCTTTTACTGCTATGGAAATAATAATTCTGAGAAGCTGTCACTTGTTGACAGCAACAGAAATTAGTAAGTGATAGAGTTGGGATTGTAATCAAAACAGTCCAATTACTGGGATAAATTCTACTAAAAAATGAATGACAATAAAGGAGAGTTGGGAAAAACCAGAGCTAGCTACAAAGTGTGATCAGAGCAAGAAGATGAAGCTCTAGTATAATACAGCTTATGGAGGCTTTGAAATCTGATCCAGTTTGTATTTAAAGCAGGACAGGGTAAAGCATTGGAATTCAGTGGTAGAGAATGCCCCTCCAATTGGGTTGTTGTTTAACCTGGTAGGATCTAAAAGCCACGGGTGGAAATATACTCTTTGGCAGGTGGACATAATACTTTGGACACAGTATTGAGGGCATAACTAGAATTGAAAGTAGTAGCAGTGGATTCTGGAAGGAGAATTGTAGTTCTATAAAGGTACCAAAATTGAGAGAGGAAGGAAAGAGAGAGAGAAGGGGGAAAGCAGGGTACATAGATGGAACAGGTAGACAAGCCAAAGATACTTTATAAGAGAAGACTTAACAGAGCAAATAGTGGATTAAGCAGTTGGGAAAATCAATGCTTACTAGTTCATGTTTTTGACTCAGAAGAAACTTAGAAATCCTGGATATGGAAGAAAGACCCAAAATAGCATAGGTTCCCTATTTTATAACTACAGTCTCAGTGTTTAGAAGCACCAGCCATAATAATAGATGTATACAGACCTAATAGTAAGCATTCCTCCAACTGGGAGATGCTTGACCACATGACTCTTTGACCACATGACTGCTGGATGCGAGTAACAGCAGCGTTCTCCCAACACCACAGCTTTGGGTATGATATTCCAACCAAGCATAGAGCAAGTGCCTTCTGGGACCTTCAGTCTTCTTGCTGTGTATTCAATGTTCCATCATAGGACAATGTGATTATGAGGATGGGACCTCAACACAAATTTTAGCCACTGCTGCTGATCTATGGTCCTGATGTTTGATAGGTAACTTTCTCTGCCCTTCTTCCCATATATTTCCTTGTTTGTGTCTTTTGCCTCCAGCAAAGCCTGCTCCTCAGGACTACCTTTTTAGACTTTGACTTTGTGCTGTCTGAGTCTTCAGTATTTTTTCATTTCCAGAGAGGCTGCAGGGCTCCTTCTTGACTCTGCCTGCTCATGGGAGTTAGAGAATTTATTTATCCCACTGGATAGCAAGCTTTCTGCTTGCTTATCTGCACCACCAGTGCCCAATAAGGGGCCCATGAATGAATTATTAAATAATATATCATCTAGATATCTTTCTACTATCTACTCAGTGGATTTTGTCCCTCAGCGACATTCATCTTCCTGGCACCCACTGTATATTCCCATAAATTTTCTCAGTGTCTTTCCTTCTGACATTTGTTTATCCCTCTGTCATCTCTCCTTGTCTCTTGTGTTACCTGGCCCTCCTGTGCCCTCTCCCTTTCTCTACTTCTTCTCCTGCTCTCTCATCTGTATGTCTTCTCCTGCTTCTATTCTCCCTCCCGTCAGCCATCTCTTTCTTCCCTAGTTCTACCATGTCCTGGCTTAGCTTTCCCATTCGTAAGAGTGGCATCTAATCATATGAAGTGTGACAGTTGACATGGATGGGCCTTATATAAGCAAGTCACTGTAAGAGTTGCAGTTGTAGGCTTTAGCCCCAGACAGAACCTCTGGTTATATTTGAGGGCATTGGCCGCAGACCTGTTTCCAGTTATTTGCCCCCATCATGCTAAATAGCCAATCTCTTCTGTCACCCTAGCCTGTTCACCACTTTGTCCTTTTTCTTCTCACAAGAGTTTGGACTCTTTGTCATGACTTTGTCTGCAAGTTCAAGTATCTCCTTTATGTGTGTCTGTGTCCATCTTAAACTTCAGTCTCTAGGGCAATTTCATGGTACTTCGTTTCAGTTAGTTCTGTCTCATTCATGAGTCAGCAAGCTCTCAAAAGTATAGACTGTGTTTGACTCATGGTAATATCCCCAGAAATATATGTATTTTAGAAGACACATAGTAAACATACAATAAATACTTAACAGAATTAATGAAGAACATTTGAACAATTCACACTCCACCGCTGACTTGTTAAAGAATCTCAACCACTCACGTCCTTTTGCAGAGAAAAATGGGAAGATTGATCATATTGATATTTTCCCTTAAAGACAAGTGCAGGTAGGCTTGCTATTCATTCGTCAGCAGCTTTTGTGCAATCCATAAATATTACTGAGCATCTACTGTGTGTTTAGAATTAGTATACATCCTTGGGTATGCTTTTGTTTGCTTTGGTTTGTTTCAAGACATGGTTTCTCTATGTAGTCCTGGCCGACCGGGAACTCCCTCTGTAGACCAGGCTAGTCCTCAAATTCACAGAGATCCACCCGCCTCTGCCTCCTGAGTCCTGGGGTTAAAGGCATGCACCACCATTGCCCAGCGATACCTGGATATGTTTTTTTTTTAAATATTTTTATGCTTTTTTTAACTTTATTTTATGTGCATTGGTGTGAAGGTGTCTGATCCCCTGCAACTGGATCTTCAGACAGTTGTGAGCTGCCATGTGGGTACTGGGAATTGAACCCAGGTCCTCTGGAAGAGCAGTCAGTGCTCTTAACCACTGAGCCATATCTCCAGCCCCCTGGATATGTTTATGAACAAAACATTTCCACTGAACCTGGCATTTTATGTCTCCAGTAATCATCCCTTGGATGAAGGAAATTTGAGTAATGAAGCTAAGGGGAACACTTAGATGTCTACGTTAACTCCTTGGAAGATAATCTAGCTCATTGAATGGAAAGGGGGTAGGGACGGAAGTCGCTTGGGAAGTGATTTCAGCACTGACTTCCTGGCTCTTTCTTGTTGTAGGAGAAACATCCCCGTCAGTAGGCCGCACTCATGGCATGTGGCCAAGCTATTGGAGGGGTGCCCTGAAGCGGCTACCACCATGCATTTCCCTTCTGAAGCCTTCAGCTTGTCTTGGCATTCTGGTTGCAACACAAGGTGAGTCTGCAGGATGGCCAGCTTCAAGGTGGGCTAGAGGATGAACAGCCTGGTCACTTGCGTCCTCTCATCTTGTCCCTGCTTGATGTTTTAGAGCTGAATGGGTATAGCAGAAAATAGCACGGCCATTTAGAGTCCCTGGGCTCTTATCTAATTGTATGACTACCAGGCTAGCACCATGACTTTGAGTCTGCATTTTTCCTTCTTGGTAGTGTTTCCTTGAAGTACCTCATCTGAACCACAAAAATAACCACCCTGCCCTGATTCTCATTCTGCCTCACTATTGATTCTTCTTCAGATTCTTTTCTTGATTCCTGTTGGAGGCAGTCTTCTCTATCCATAGTCCCTCACTAGGAACTTCCTCTAGTGTTTGTTGGTTCTCTCACAGAGCAGAAATCTCCAAAGCAGCGACCTCCCCAAGTCCAGCTCCGTGATAGGAGCTTGGTGTTGTCCATTTTTAACGAAACAACTGCTCAAGGGACAAATCACTTGTTTGTACCCCAGTTGCAAAGCCAGCCAAAGTATAGTGCTCAGTTGTATTTTCCCTTCAATAATCATGTCTCCCCTCCAAGAGTGAATTTTTTGTTCGGGGGGGGGGGGGGGGCTCAAGGAAGCTAAGGCGTGATTTTTCCCTAGATTGCTCATTTTATTTGGTTTTAGAATCCAGGGACTCATGGCAGAGGCAGTTTTGTTCTAGAAGAATGCACAGAGATATATTCTAGATCTGGCTCCCATCTGAGTGTGTGTGTACATGATGTGTACGTGTGTATGTGTGTGTGTTCCCGTAGAAAGTGAGGTGAATAGCAGGTTCCCTTGACAACAAGAAATGAATGTATTGCTAGCTCAGAACCAACTGAGCAAAGTGGTTAAAGCCATGCATTGAACAAGACAAGGGGAACCTGTTCAGGAGCTCTCATGGGCTGCTGTCACAGCTCAGCTGGGGCTTGGTTTCTGAGCCAGGGCCTTTCTGAGAGCAAACCTGCAATCTGCAAGCTTCTGGTCAAGGAGAGCTAATGGCATTTCTCGGCTCAGTCTGGCTATGTGTTTGGGAAATGGCACTTAACATTCAAAATGATATCTTTCCCTCGATCTTCCTGGCGGGCTTTGGCTGTTAGTAGATAAGGGAAGTATGGGCGAGCATAGCCCCTCATAGATCATGGCTAATAGTAGGGAGGACGTTGATAACAATGACAGCCGAGAGCAGCTCCTGCCTTAGTAGATGCCTGGGTTCTGACAAGGGCCCTTTGTTTCTTATCTGATTTCATCTGCACAGAGTTTATTATTTTTTCCTATTTAAAAGTGTTATCAGAGAGGAGGTAAGACTTTGGGTGGAGAGAGTCCTGGGTTCCAATTGCAGTTCAGCTTCTTCCGCAGATTGCTGAAATCATCAGTTTGCTTTACTTCATGGCTTAGAAAGTGAAGAAAGTCATCTCATTTGGGCTTCAGATGGAAGACTGTAAAAGGCCTCAGTAAATAATCAAAATTTCTATTATCAAGAAAAATCGTCGGTTCTGAGGCTGTAGCCCCATAGCAGAGCCCTTCCCTAGTATGTTCCAGGTTCTGAGTCCCACCTCCAGCCCTACAAATAAAGTGCTAGAAATCTCCAGACCAAAGGAACATTTCAACTCCATCCCTGACTGTGCCACTAGTTAGAGTTGGTAAAAAAAATAAAAATAAAAAGAAGCCGGGCAGTGGTGGCGCATGCACTCGGGAGGCAGAGGCAGGCGGATCTTTGTGAGTTCGAGACCAGCCTGGTCTACAATAGCTAGTTCCAGGACAGGCTCCAAAGCCACAGAGAAACCCTGTCTCAAAAAAAAACCAAAAAATAAAAAAAAATAAAATAAATAAAAATAAAAAAATAAAAAAATCTTCTCAAAGTCACTTCCCTCTCTGGAGCTTTGTTTCATTGACACGAGTGGCTTTCCAAAGTGCGGTGAGGCCCACTGGCCTGTTATAAGGAGCCCTCCATGTGAGTGTGGTGCCTTTGAGAATCACTGCTTTAGGAAATGCTCCGGCTGAAGTCAAATCAAGTCCCATAGGGCTCCTCTCTAATGCCGATGCTTTGAACTGTCTCTGCTGGCAGAGAACCACACGCTGACCCAACAGAGACTACTCAGAAGCAGCTTCAGACTTGCTGCTAGCAGTGACATTGTGCCCAATTCCCATGAGGTTTCCCCAGGCTTTGGGATATGTACTCATTCTTCCTCTCTGTGCAATTCCGTCTCTCATTCCGTCCTGTTTCTGTGCTGTCCCTCTGTCAGTCACCTCACTCCTTTCCTCTGTTTCTCCCTTTGCCTCATTTTCTTTTCATTTGTAACATGGGGTGCCTCTGACTTGACCTGCCCTTTTCCATGGTGGACGGGCCAAGGTGAGAAAAGGGTCTAATTTTTTGGCTAACTCATGCATATGCCTTGTGTCTTACAGTGACGTGTGTGTGCAGTGGTGCCCCCTCTCCCGGCACTGCAGCACTGAGAAAAGCAGCTCAATCGGCAGCATGGAGAGCCTAGAACAGCCAGGCCAAGCTACCTACGAGGGTCACCTCTTGCCTATCGACCAGAACATGTACCCCAGTCAGCGTGACTCGGCCTACAGTTCCTTCTCAGCTAGCTCAAATGCCTCTGACTGTGCCCTTTCCCTTAGGCCAGAGGAACCACCCGCCACAGACTGTGTCATGCCAGGCCCAGGGCCAACTAAAGCCACCGATGGCCGAGCTAATGCATGTGAGACCTCAGAAAGTAGCCACAGTACTAGTGGGGACCGTGGGACCTCCACTTCCCAAGAGTCATCCTGTCCAGAGAAGGGTCAACACTCAGGACCTGCCAAGATGGTACAAGGTCCACCAGAGCCTCCTGTGAGGCGGGACAGCCTTCGGGCCTCTAGAGCTCAGCTCCTCAATGGAGAGCAGCGCCGTGTGTCTGAACCTATGGACTCCTTGCAACAGAAGGAGAAACAAGGCTTAGAGACACTGCTGCCTCCAAGGAGCCCTAACCAATTCTGCTGCGTAAGTGGGCAAAACCAAGTGACAGGCGAGGGCCACCAGAACTGTGAGCTCAGCCAGCCTTCTGAATCCAGCCAGGAGGACTCTGAGCATCTACTGATAGAGGGCTCCTCCAAAGCGCTTGATTCCCCAAAAACCCATGACAAGGGTTCTAGCAGAGAGTTCAGCCTGCTCAAGGAGGCTTCAGCAGATTTGGCTAACCCTTTGTCCTTTGGTGCCATCTCACACCTCCGAGGAAGCACAGAGCATTGCCATAGTGCTCCGGAACAGCTGCTGGCGTCCCAGTTGCAGCGCATGCGCGTGGATTCCAGAGGTGGCAAGGGGATGGAGTTGCCAGCTGGGCAGGATGGGCACCAGTGGACGGTGTCCCCTTTGCACAACAACCCTAAGGGAAAGAAAAGTCTAGGTCTCCCTACAGGAGACCCTCAGGACCAGCCTATCAAAGAAAGGAAGGCCAGGCCCATAGATGATAAGGCGATGGGTCCCGTGTACCAGAGCCAAAGTGGTTCCCCACTTGGAGAGGTCAATGGACCCCTGCCAGAACGAACTTACTTAGACCCAAACCGAGCAAGCAGAGCAGGCAGTGACTTGGCTAGCCAGCAGCCCTCTGCCACTTGCTCCCCTATTCAACAAGCCAGAGACGTCTTTTCAACCTCTAAAGTGGCTGGTCATGCAGAAGCAACTGAAGAAGGTGACAGTGAACCCAAGGAAGGTGGCCGATTAGGTGGCAGAAAGAGTGGAGGTCCCCGGGGCCGCTCCATCCAAAACCGGCGGAAGAGCGAGAGGTTTGCTACCAATCTTCGTAATGAAATTCAGAGGAGGAAAGCCCAGCTCCAGAAAAGTAAGGGTCCATTGTCACAGTTGTGTGACACTAAGGAGCCAGTTCAAGAGACCCAAGAGCCTCCAGAAAGCCCCCCACTCCCTGCTTCTAACTCGGCTCTCCTGTCTTCATATAAAGAAGTCCCTAGCCCGGGAGACAAGCTCTTCAATAAAAGCATGATTCTCAGGGCTAGGTCTTCAGAATGCCTCAGCCAAGGCTCAGAGAGCTCCAAAGCTAGAGTAGGCTTAGAGGGAAGGCTAAGCCCTGGCCAGAGGTCCGGCCAGTCTTCTTTGAGCCTGAACACCTGGTGGAAGGCATCTGACTCACCCTCCTTAGACACTGACAAAGCAAATGCTCCCCCTGGAGTCTGTGGAGGTCAATGGAGATGGTCGCCAGAATATAACCCACAGGCTCATGTGCCACTATCCACAGAAGGTCCTTCCAGCCCAGATGACAGCAAGGAACTGAAGGCATCTACTGCTCAAGCTGGGGAAGAAGCCATTCTCTTGCCGTTTGCAGACAGAAGAAAGTTCTTTGAAGAGAGCAGTAAATCCTTGTCTACATCTCATTTGCCAGGCTTAACCACTCATAGCAACAAGCCTTTTACCCAGAGACCAAAGCCTATCGACCAAAACTTCCAGTCAGTGAGCTATAGGGAATTGAGATGCCATCCCCTGGACCAATCATATCATTCCACAGACCAACCATACTATGCCACAGACCAATCATATCATTCCATGTCACCACTTCAGTCAGAAACTCCCACTTACCCAGAATGCTTTGCTACCAAAGGCCTAGAAAATTCCCTGTGCTGTAAGCCACTGCACTGTGGGGATTTCGATTACCACAGGACCTGTTCCTATTCCTGCAGTGCTCAGGGAACTGTAATGCATGATCCTTGCATTTATTGTTCTGGAGAAATCTGCCCTGCATTGCTAAAGAGAAATTTGTTGCCAAATTGCCTCAACTGTAGATGTCACCACCACCAATGCATTCGATGTACAGCTTGCTATCATAATCCTCAGCATGGTGCCCTTGAGGACAGCAGCCTGGCATCTGGCAGTGCTTGGAAATCCAGGAAGTCAGCAATACAGGTGAGGACTTGGTTCGTGGGGGAGTGAGAGTCATTATTTTGAAATGTAATCACAATGCATTGCAATGATGAAGCCCCGTCTCTACACTCAATCACCAAGATTGCAGTATACTTGTGCAGCTTTAGAGGTTGGGGAAAGAAAGTTTTGCTCCTTAAAATGAACAAGACTGGAATTTGTTCTAACTTTAAAATTAATATCTGAGTGACCTTAAGTAAACCATGAACTAATTATAATGTGAAGTTATGTCATTTTTAAAGGGAAAAATATATTCACTTATAAAACAGCTAGTACTAATAAAAAATAAAAGGTAGGATCCACATAAAAGATAAAAAGTACTGTCTTCTTGCATCTGGCTTATTTTGCTTGATGTAATATTTTTCGTTGTACCCATTTTCTGTAAATGTCATGATTTATTCTTTTCTTTATGAATAAATAAAATTATAGTATGTATAGTATCCAGAGGACTCCAGGTCCTTCCACAGATACACTTGCATACCTGTTGTTATAATTACCATACTTACAACAGTTGAGGACTAGAACCAGCCTAGATGTCTGTCCGTCATCAGATGAATGGAGAGCATGGCTCTTCTGTTGGAAGCAAAGGTGGAGAACAGCGTTTTCCAGTGTGTATTTGCACGGAAGTTGAAGGGAACAGGGCACGAAAGCACAGTAAGAGCTTGATATAAATTAGATTTACATGAGTGTGTTAACAACCAACAAATGTACATTAATATTTATAGGAAACACACTTTGCCTAAAATTGTATAAGCAAATGATCAACTTTAATATGCATGCTGAAGTATTCTTGAAGTATACTCACGTGTACAAATTATTGTCATTTCCCGCCTATACATCATACACGTATTTTGGGTTACATATGCCTACAGTTCCAATAGGCTTTGAAGCTATAGTAAACAATATTGTTTTCTGAATATTAACTTGAAGTCCGTTGCTACTTCTCCATATACAGTTGAACTTTGTATATTGGCTTCATATCCTATAGCATTGCCAAACTCACTGATGAATTCTAGTACCTCATTGGTAGATTATAAAAGATTTTGGACATAGGAGGTTGCATCATCTTGGAATAGAAGGAATTTTGTATCTTTTTCATGTTCTGTATGCTTGTTGCTTTTCCTGGGATCCCCCAATTGCCTGTTCAGAAGGAATGTTGAGAGCAACAGTGTTGCTTGGTTTTCAGGGCTTCCCTGTGAAGTTTGGTGGCTACGATCTTCTAGTGATTGTTGTTTTACAGTTGTTCTTAATCTTGGGGAGAAATGCCCTTTTAGTCTTAGCTTCAAAGGAGCTCTTTTTTAAAAATTAAGAAGGAATTTTGGATTCTTTCAACTGTTTTCCTATTTCTATTAAGGTGCCGCTATAGTTTTAATTTTTAATCTAAATTTATAGTGAGTTATACTGGTTGGATTTTGAAATAAGTATCCACCTAGCATTTCCAGGATAAACCCCACTTGATCATAATGTAGTAACTTTTTATGCTGCTAGATCTGACTTATTAGCATTTTGTTAAGGCCCTTGAATCTACATTTAATACAGATTTTAGTCTGTATTATAAAATCTTTGTTTTTTTTAAGTAGGTAATGCTAGCTAAATGAGGTCTCTTCTGTTTTTCAGGAAGAATTTGTACAGCACTGCTGTTTTTTTCTTCTTTAAGCATGTGGTAAAATTTATCACTGAGCCAGGCGGTGGTGGTGCATGCCTTTAATCCCAGCACTCAGGAGGTAGAAGCAGGCGGATCTCTGTGAGTTTGAGGCCAGGCTGGTCTACGAGAGCTAGTTTCAGGATAGGCTCCAAAACTAGAGAGAAACCCTATCTTGAAAAACCAAAACAATAAAAAAAATTACTAAAATCATTTGGACCTGAAATTTTTTGTGTGAGAATGTTTGAAACTGCACATTAATTTCCCTGATAGAAACAGAGTTATGGAGATTATCTGTTTCTTCTTGAGTGAGCTTTGGTAGATTATTGCTTTTAAGGAATTCCTCTATGTCATTTACATTTTTACATTTATGCAGATAAAATCATTGGGACCCACTCTGAAGGGCATGTCAGAATTTAAGCTGTACCGGTTGATGAGTAGAGGAGGAAACAGGTCCATGATAAGGTGATAGCAAAAATGTCAATTGTAGCATTGTAGCATCTCGATAGGACCCATGGATGCTCACGGTAAATGCTTCCATCTTTTTGGTATGTTTGGAAATATTCCCAGTGCTGAAAAAAGAGAAAAGAAAACATAGATAATGCCCAAAAGGCATTGAAGCTGAAACTAGACTAACTGGGTTTAAATTCTTTCCCCAGAATTTATAGTGCCTAATCTTTTCCGTCTGAAAAATGAAGGTAATAACAGCACCTGCTTCGTTAAGGTGGATTAAATGGCGAACATGTGCAAGGCCTTTATAACAGTGACTGCCAGGCAGTAATCATCTTATAAGTAAGCTATTTTAAGATGAAGGGAAATTTGGCTTAGCTTGAGAATCTTGGCTGAAAGAAGTACTCATAGCAAGTAATAAGGAAAGGGGGTTGAAGGTGAATGGAAAGAAGGGAGAGAATGAGTACAGGGATGTCATCTCTGGACCAGAATCTCCGGAAGAGAAGGAAGTTTATTTGACAGGTAGCAGCAGTTGGCTGTAGCAATATAGGCAAACTGTGCCTATGTCATCCCTCTCCTTTTGTACTTGGAGGGACACATTGGGTTCCTAATGCCTGTTAGACTGACTAAGTATATCTGCTTAGACACTAGACTTTCAGGTACGTGGATGACGATATATATAGGGGTATGCCATTTCTACCCTTGTTACTGGAATCCTGTATTTTTGACCCTGTGAGACGTATAGCATAGGTTTAGACACTCTAGCTCTGGCAACTAAGGTAGTTGCTGTGGTGACTGTCTGAAGAAAGCCTGGGAGCCTGCCAGCTCTTTCTGCCATGAAGAAGGTTGGGGAACTAACTAGCTCTGACTCGGTGATATCTAGACAGGTGAAATCAGCTTCTACTTACAAGCACACATGTTTAGGCCAGTTAGTTTTACATATATTGCCAGATGATTTCACTTAACACTTACATGAAACTGGTGAGGAAACTGAGTCTCAGAGAGGTCACACAGCTCACAAGGTGCAGAGCCAGGATCTGAACACCATGAAAATAACGTGTATATGTCTGTCCACTAGATTCAAGCTGCTTTAAATGTAGCAATGCATTAAGTCTTCTAGCAATCAAGAAATAGGTACCCTGGTCATAAATATGCTACCATATTGCAAGTACCATATATTCATGGTATAATGTTTAAAAATGTTAATATATATATATATGTAATGTGTAGTATCAATATATACATATGCACATATGTATAGCATTTATGTTTATTGTATATAACATATGTGTGTTTATATTATAACAGAGTTAAAAGGGAGTGTGGGCCATCCACTTGCTGAAGGGTAGATGTGGAAAGCGAAGCTCTATTTCTAGCTGTAGCTGTGTTCTGGAGTGTGTGCTACCTGCCTCTCCATAAGTAGATTGCAAAGCCTAGGCCTTCTCCTGTGTAACAGACAGGATGGCTGCTAGCAATATCACTTTCACCAAGACAGCCAGTTCTCCTATAATCTTCAAGTGCTCTACCCACTGTGAGTATGGCTCCTTGGGTTCAAAGAGCACAGAACAGTTTTAGGATACTAAGTGGCTCAGGCCAAAGAATAAAGTAATACTGAGACTCTCAAATGGTCAGTGGGAGTGGGTGAAGGGCTCCGCCTGGTTTACCCACTGCTGTTTTCTAAGCTCTTCCACAGGTCTAGACATCTCATGGACAGGGAATCCTGGCTCATCCTGTAGCTCAACATGTTATGGTGCCTTTGTGGACAGTGACATCTCACAAACATGCCAAGGTAGAAAGAGTCTGAAATAAAGATTGTTCAATTTGCTCTGCTCTATCCCAAACAGAGACTGCTCTCTAGTTTTGTGAAAGCTGGAATCAGAATGTTCTCCCCACCTTTTCCTTGTTAACACCCAGAGGTAGATCCTGTGGTATTCAGGCTGGGCTTGTCCTCCCAAGTGGTCTTACTTCAACAGACTCCCCAGTGCTGTGACCACAGAACCTTCTAGCTACCATGCACTGTGCTGGGCATTCTCTACCCATCTTGTTTGATCCTCGCTGACTATCTTTATTTGCCATATAGCAAACTGAGGTTTGAAGTGGTTTGACAGAATGTCCCTCACATAGCACAGATAATAAATGTCTTAGCCAGTATAACTGACACCAGAGACCTGTGTCATTCTGCTTCACCGGGTGTTTGGCCCCAAAAGAGGCCTGCTAGGGCTAAGGCAATAAACCTTGGAAGAGACTAATAATAGCAGTATTGGAGCAAAGTGAATTTAGAAAATCAGTGCCTTCTCTTGGGCTGAGTCTCCAGGTAGAGGGTGCTAAACACAAAACCAGGAGAAATTTGAAAAGCAAGCATGCATTCAGATTCAGGCTCTAGTAAGAAAGGGAAATTTTTACAAAAGGCATATATGGCTGAGCAATTCAGGAAACTACATCCAAGATAGACAGTCTACTTGTATAGTGTATGAACCAGGGCACCCAATACTCCATCTCCCAGAGATGAGCTCATGTCAACCCTTGTCTGAATATGTGGGCAGAGGTGTAAGAACAACTGCAGGATGAGGGTAGCTGGCATCTCTGCTCCACCTTTTCCCACCCTGGGAGAGAGATTCTGCAGCAGGACCCTCCAAACCCCCTTGAGGTCAGTGCTTCCAAGAAGATGCTTTCTAAATTTGAAAAAGCAGGAATGATGGCCAGGTTCATCCGGTAGGATAAACAAAAGATCTCCAAACCCCAGTGTAAGCAAGAGCTAGCGCAAACAGCTAACATGCTAAACTAGTTTTTGGCGTGGTTTGGGAGGGGTGTAGAGCAAGAGGGAAATTGAATACTCTTAGCCCACAGTGTCCAGGTCCCTGAGTGCTTTCTGGATATCTGCATGAGTGCCGTGGCTCAGCAGCCTCCCAAGTGCACATGGCTGTAGACTGTCTGGGGGTGTCCGCCCTACCAGCCAAGGAACCTGGGCCAGGCTGCTGTTTGGAAAACTACCTGGAGACCTGGACATTCAAAGTTGCCTAACTTACCAGATTTTCTTTTGCAGGAATTTCCTGGGGACAAGTGGAAGCCAATAACCAGCAACAGGAAAACTAGCCATTCAGGGAGGTAAGTGACGGCTCTGGCAGGCTGCGTGATTGGGTGTGTCAGAAACTTCTTTAGAAATGGCTATGGCTTTTGGTTTGCTTGATTTTTTTTTTTTATTTAACAGAATTGGTTTGCTATTCACACCAAGGACTTGTTTCTATAATTATAATCCAATGACCTCCCTACGTCACCATCTGAATATAGAGCCGATAGATCGTGAGGACGTTTTAAAATAGTGTTGTGAGGGTATGTCTGTCTGAGGGAGGTAGTTATACCCTGTCTAGTTATACCCAAGGCCACAGAGAATGAGACTGTGCTGAAATGAGCAAGAAGGCACAAACTGTGGCCATGAGCGGTTGGAGTCAACAGAGAGGAGTGTCTGTTCTCTTTGTCCAAGGTTGTTGGAGGCACCTGCTTCTTGGGTTCTGCCACCACACTTTTAGTAGGACTCGTTGAGAATTCACGGGCCATGAAAATATGCTCATGGGTTACAACTGCTGGAGAAAGGCACATACAGCTTGGAATAATATAAAAAGAACCGCTTTGCTCAGGGGTGGAACCCTGAGCTCCTCTAATTGGGCTAGTCACTTCTGGGTTGCTGCTTGCCTAGTCAGATCTCTTTTTTGTACATTTTGATATGCTGTCTCAGCCATATAGGAAAGAGGGTTCTCAATGATTTTGAAGCCTGTTACCATCTCCAGAATAAAGCAGAAGACAGAAAGGCTTAAATAGTCCAGAGTTCTTTTAGGTGGTCTACATTATGCTCCATTATTTTTAATTCAAATATAATTAGGTCATTCCGCCTTTCCCTTCCTTTCCTCCAGCTCCTCCGATGCCCTCTACTTTTTCTCTCTCAAATTTATGGCTTATTTTTCTTTGATTATTCTTCTCTTTTCTTTCTCTCTCTCTCTCTCTCTCTCTCTCTCTCTCTCTCTCTCTCTGTCTCTCTCTCAAACACACACACACACATTCTCAAATTTATGGCTTATTTTTCTTTGATTATTCTTCTCTCTCTCTCTCTCTCTCTCTCTCTCTCTCTTTCTCTCTCTCAAACACACACACACACATACATTCTCTCTCAAATTTATGGCTTATTTTTCTTTGATTATTCTTCTCTCTCTCTTTCTCTCAAACACACACACATACATTCTCTCTCAAATTTATGGCTTATTTTTCTTTGATTATTCTTCTCTCTCTCTCTTTTTCTTTCTCAAACACACACACACACACACACACACACACGCACATACATCCTCTCTCAAATTTATGGCCCATTTTTCTTTGGTTGTTTTTGTCACATACATAGACACACACATACGTTTATGTGTGTGTACACCTAAGTGTTTAACTGCAACTTGCTGACTCCATTTAGCGTCGCTTGCATGTATGTTACTTTAGGCATGACCACTTTGAACTGGATAACCATTTAGGGGTTCCTCCCTAGAGTACACTGATTAGAAGCTTCTTTGATGAAGGATAAGAGACACAGTTAGCTGTGGTCATAACCAACAGCTGTCTCATTGGACCTAAGGCCAACTCAACAAGAGGAAAATCAGACCTCGTACTGGAAACCTAGTCAACTATCCGGTTGTGGGTCTTAGAGGAAGACCTACTACTTACAGGAAACTAAAAACTACTACTTAGAGGAAAAGCCACTCTGTTTGACTGGCATAATTCCTTACTGTATTCTAAATACTGACCCCATGATTTGATAGTAGAGTTAGGAATTATTTTGGCTTTTCTTTGATCCCAAAGTATGGAAAAATTACTCATTTCCACCCTGAAATGGGAAAGGGGATGATGCCCAATATTTATTAATCATCTCTAATTATCCGTCATTAGGATTCTACATTCAAAATTGTGTTTACTCTCCAGAGTAGTTCGCGTGTGCTGCCTAGTTTATAGGAGAGGTCCAGAGACATTATATAATTCAGCTAGGTCACAGCAAATGGTCATGTTGGATTTCAGACAACCTGACCCCAAAGTTCCTGCACCTTCCCTCATCCCCCATTTTACCTGCTTCCATTGGAATTCATAAAGGACAGTCTGCTATATAGATCCTCAACATAGTGTTTCAAGAGTCTAAGTCCTAGGCAGAGATTTTGCAGGATTCCATGGCTAGACTTGATCCCCTCTCCATCTCCCACCGCAAGTTCTGGGCTGCTTTATATTATGTCCTTAGGGATATTATTTTAATCTAATGACACTGTCAAGTTTCATAAGTTATTAGATTGAGACAGTTAAAAAAATACCAAACCTTGAGCATAGCCTTATTTTATGTGCTTAACACAGAGAGGCCTTTCAAGTGGTATTTGTCATCTGTTTGCCAAAAGAGGAGATAGAATCTGTTGACCACTGCATGAGTAAAAAGACATGAAAACAATAATGCTAACAATTTCCTGGTTTTTCTTTCTTTTTATTTTCTTCAACACTAGGGAAGGAATCTATGGTCTTTTGCACACTAAGCAAGTGCTTCACCATAGCACAATACCCCGAGGCAGTAAATAACTCAGTTACATGTTGTAGCCACCATGGGATGCATTTTTATAAGCCTGTATTTATCACTGTGAGGTTGTAGAGTAGGTATAATCAGCGTAGGTGTAGTTTCTTCTCTGTTTAATACAGAGAAGCAATTGAGGTCCACACAAACACATTCATTTGCCTAAAGCCTCTCAGCTGGTGAGTTAATTAGCCCCAAGAAGTCTTGCTTCAGAAACAGTATTGTACACCTCACCAGGCTCCAAAGTGCTTCTCCTACTCACTCATCAGTGAAGTAAGAGAGTCTTACTAAAAGCTTAGCATGTGCACTGCCTTTTGCCTAGCAAGGTGGGAGATTCTAGTAAGAGATCAGCGAGAAGCAGTATCTGCCCACAGCTTGAGCAGAAAATAGTAGCCCACACCGAGTTCAGCAGCAGTAATAACACATTATTACTTGCAAAACAACCTATGTGCTATGAATTGAGTTGCACAAGTTATGGCAGAACTTCCTAAGAGTTCCAGCAGGTAGGCATTAGCCCAGGGTATTGAATCTCAGAGATGAGTATGCAGCCGAAACACTGGAGAACTTGTTGAAACACGAGTCTGCTGGACTCTGCCCTCCCCACCTCCTCCCCCCCCCCCAATCGAATTTCATAGGTGCAAAGTAGGGCTCAAAATCAGCATAGATTTCTAACTGGCTCCTTGGATGATGCTGGCACAACTGGTCCTGGGACCACACATTGAGAACTGCTAACTCGGAGAAAAGATTTGAAATTTAGAGAGGGTGAGTTCTCCACTCAAGGTCTCCTGGCTAGTAAGGGCTCAGCTTTTAAGCCAGCTTTTCCTTACGAAAGTTTCCAAAAGAACATGAAGCTTAAACAAGGACCACCTTAAACCAGGCCCCGCTACATGATAAGTAATTTTTGCATTTTGGATAAGTTCATGGAAGGATAAGAAAACTGCAGGCCGAAAGTGGAAGGAGAAGAAAATAAGCAAGATGTCTTAGAGTAATCAATGTTCTTACTAAATAAAGCCTTGGAGTTAATACTGCTTCAGTCAAGATCCATGTTCGTGTGCTTCCTCGTCTTCCTCTCTCCTTTACTGACTCTTCCTTCTCATCTCTTATCTCTGCACCTGTCTTTATCTCTTCTTATTTGTAAGAGAGGGTTAGAGCAGCACCAGCAAATTCTTGTAAGAATCAAATGAGTAAATGGAGAGGAACCCTTGCAAGCACAACTGAACACTGTAAGTTCAAGATGTGGTGCTGAGGAGAAGACATGGAGTCCGCTCAGCAGACAGGGTAGAGAAGTATAACTAATGATACTTTAGTCCAGGATGGGTAGGCCTGGAGAATGAGAATGGGTGACAAACATGGGAGCAAAATCATGTTCACCTGTCACCAGGTAGTACTAAGTTCCAGTTAGACAGAAACACGAAGCTCTGATGCATGGTACATGATGTGGTGACTACAGATCGCAGTAATGAACTGTACACTTGAAAAGGCCAGAAGGGGGTTTTGAATACTTTGCCATAAATAATAAATATTAGAGAGAGAAAGGTGTTTACTTGGGTTGATCATTGTTTACATGTGTCAGTCAATATCTGATGCCCCACTTATAAGTATAATTTTAGGATTATATGTATATATAACATATTTTATACATATAATTTACTTTAATTTATATAAATACATTATATATGCATGTACGTGTAAAGTTGTACTTATATATCAATTGAGAATAAATTCAGATGCGGTATAAAAGAGGAGACTGAGGATTGAAAATGATGAAAATTCATTATAAACATATGAAACTTTCAAATAAAAAATAAATTCAAATTAAAAATTATTGACAATCAGGTAAGTGGCTTGATAAATGTGGCATTTTAAGCAACTTGGCAGCATTTGAAAGCTAGATGAGGAGAGTAACCGAGTGAGGCAGTCATCCAGAAATTAAAATGTGTGTTTGAGCTAGAGAGGTGGCTGTAGAGGCGCAATCAAAATACAGTATAAAAGGTAGATAAATACGTGTGATGTTTTAGGAGAAAAAAATAATTGTTTATTGTAAAAACAATATTACAGAAAATTAAATCCAAGAGAAAATAGCCTTGATTCTACCACCTTATTGCTCCAATTTCCTGTTGGCTTTTTATATAGGTGTAGAGATTATTTCTGGCATGGTTATAATAACTATGCAAATGAGCTTTTGTACCTTGATACACTAAGCATTATTTGATAAATAATTTTCATGCAGGCTTCCTCAGTAATTCTAATTTTAATGGCTATATAATATTTCATCTGTTTATTGTATACTAATTTGTGTAATCAATCCTAAATTGTTGAATAATCAGGTTGTTTTCAATGTCTTGAAATTATAAAATAATTATCTGGAACATTTTGAATATCAATAGATTTTTTTCTCATTTTGAATTAGCTCATGAAAACAATTATCTGAAACACTTATTGAAGAAGCTAGTATCTGGAGTTTGGGTTACTACTTCACAGTACATGAACATCCTTATAGTCCTTCACAGATTTAAAAATG